TATTGAATTTGATTTAATTTTTTATAATTTTTAGCAAAATCAAACTGGGCTTAAATTCGTCAACATATCATGATGAGAACCTAGAAGTAAAGAGTCACGACTAGTTTCACACATGTCCCATAAGATTTGACACTATTTTACCTTAATCATCGACCAACAGCCACTCTTCTTGTTTACCTGAATTTTCACGCTTACGTAATTATTCTTTAAAACAGTAGGGGATCCAAATTACCTCCAACACTATTACTAGATTATAGTAAAACATCCATACATATTCCATCCCAAGAAGATAAAAGATTATATATGGATTCACACCCACCTCCCTCAGGTGTAGTCTATAAAGGCACATCCATTGTATTTTGTTTTTTAACTCCTATTTTTGGTAGATTTTGAAAAAAAGAAAATGATGAAATGTATAGTTAAAAAGTTATGAATTTTATGAGATATGTTATTAAAATTAATTGTTTATTTTGATTTAAATTAAAATCGAAATTTTTAATTTCCATGAAAGGGGGCTTAAGTTTTTAGTCTACCGTGCACGGAATGAAACACAAGAAATTGTTGGGTGGGGGTGAATGGTATGATACCACTCAAATGTTGCACGTCGCATCATAACACTCTTTTATCCAGTTGTGTCGAGCAGGACAAACTGCAGTCACACCCCCTAACACATCATCTTTTATAGTTTTAACCCGACTTGAACGCAATGATTAGACAGAGTCAGTGTGTATCCTATGATCATAGACCATCTCGGAAGGGTGTGATCGAAATCATTTTAGCTCGTTATTTTAGTGCAAATAGTCCTCGTTGAATATTTTGGTTTGAAAGATGACGTGTAAGATTCTCACTTATATAAATTGATTTCATTAAATTTTGTAATGAGTCATTGGGAATACAATATAGACAGTGTCTCAAATTTGAAAATTGATGATGAATTTGACATGATATCTCTAATCTCCATTAACTCAAAAAATATATGAATATAGAAATAACACCATGGGTACTCTAGAGTCCTTTAATAAATTCTGAAGAAAGAAAAGAACCAATTCGTTAATCTTTAACTTAAGAGGGGTGGGATTCAAGAAACTTGACATTTAAAATACAGAGAAGATTTACAACTCAAATATTCCAAAGGACAAAAGAGCAAAATGCAAAAGTTCCCCACCACTTGAATAAAGAAGATTGTGACCTTGATTCCTTGCACCAAACCCATATTATCGTTCAATTGCAAAACTATATTATATTAAATGCAAAATTATATCACAAATTATTTTCAAGCAAAATGGAAATATAATTCACAGTAGAATATTTTATTTCATTTTTTTGTTTGAATGAATTCACAGTGGAATATTCATAAGGACGGAGAATATTTTCGAAATTACCACAAAAAAGAAAAAAAGAAAAAAACCGTTTAGCTAGGGCGAGATTGGCTCGAGCCAGGCTGATTAATAGGACCACCAGAAGCCGCAGCCGAGCTGGAAGAAGAAGAAGCGCCGCTGGAAACAGAAAGCAGCTCCGTCAAAGCGCTCATGGCTCGGACTTGCATTTCAAGAGCGGCTATATAATCAGTAGCCTCCTCTAAAATCACCGGCAAAGGCTCTTTTCGGCAACCGGGAACCAATCGGCCAAGAACGCGAACTTTCCGGTTAACCGCAGGTAAACCCTTCGATTTCAAACGGAATACGCTCACTTTTGATTTCTTATGCGGCCGGCTGTTCCCTGTGGTAACCACCATCACATTTTTCTGCCGTTTGGTGATGTTATTCTTCTTTAGAAACTTGAGCTTGAGCCGATTCGTGAGAATCGCGCGGCTCCAGCGTGACCTGCCTTTGGCAGTGGTGGCTAGTGCTCTATCAGCGGCTTCACGGACAGCTCGGCCGCCCTTAGGAGTGGTGGCTTGAGCTTGTGGGCCGTTGTGTCGGACATGGCGCAGCGCTTGAAGCAGCTTTGATGAATAAATTTGTTGCTGAGATTCGGATTTCCATTCGATAACAGAATTTTGATTCTGATTATTATTCAAATTACCTCCATGGTTTTGGCTTTGGATTTTCTTCTTCCTTCTTCTTCGAATCGTTGATCTCTCGGAACTCACCACCGGATTTGAAGGCAGCGATTGAGTCATTTCTACATCCATCTCTATGTATATATTTATTCAGGTACGGAAATAGAACCTATAGATTCAATTGAAAGGATAAATACCGAGTTAGAATCGAAAGTATTGGTAGATTCAAATTCAAAGAAGGCATCTCGTGAAGGAATGAAATTTAATGCGATTGATAATCGATAATTAAGAATTAGCAATAAATAAACAGATAATTAATGGTTGAGCAACCTCGCTACCAAAAGTATTACGCAATTTCTGTCAATACATCGCATAAGGAACTAATAACAAGGAATGAAAAGAACTAATTGATTCAACAAAAGCCTCCTGCTACACATAGAATTAGAGTTTCAGGATCAAATAAATTTTAATTTGAGATCTCATTTGTACACTCTACCGTTTATACTTTATCATCAATGGAAAAAAGAGCGATGAATCTGAAACATTCTTCAGAACCGTACTAACGCAATTGCAGTTTGCAAAGATACAACAATAGAACAAATATGAATTGATATTTTCATGCTGATGCTAAAAACTTAACGTGAATCACCTTTAAGAAATTGAGAAACTCTCAGTCTTGTATTTTGAATGTTTCACTGTAATATCCAAAGAAATTTATTTACATATGCGTGTATATAAATAGGCCGCGGTGGTGGTGGTGGAGGAGGAGGAGAAACGGCGAGGACGAGTGAAAGAGGAGGCTTTAAGATTGAATGATGGCAGTGTTGGAGCAAATAATTAATGGCTTTTCTTTTTTTAATAAAAGTGTGGCAGTGGCTTTTTGGGCCATGTGGTGGGTAGGGCCCATTCACATGTGCGCTATCTGTCTCCGTTACTCCTGACTTCTGTTTTAACTTTTAATTACTATTTTCCCTTTTCTTTTCTTTTTTTCCAATATTTCATTTTCTTTTTCCGTCGCAATTAAAGAAGTCGATATCGACAAAAAAAAAAAGTTAAGTTACTTTTTTTTGTCAATCGACCTTTTTTTATCCTTTTTTTTTTATTACTTAATAACCAACAATTGGTTTTCTTCATAATGATATCTGGACAATTTCTGTCTCGTTTTTATATTTGTGCATTCGTATATTAATAAATAATTAGGAAGTTCGGCAAATTTTGATTGGACAAATTGACATAACCTTAAGGATCAATGGAGAAAGAAGAGATAAAAGCATCAAATAATTGGAGGATCACTAATTTAATAATAAAAAAGGATGAACCGCATCCTTAGCGGCCCCCATCTGTCCTGTCCTAGGCCTTGGTGAAGGAGGTAAATCGCAGGTTATGCCTCCAAGGGTACAGGGTGGAAGGCTACTTGTACACTTGCACTTACCCAAGGGCCAAATCCATATTTTAGGATTCGAACCCTT